ATATAATATAGAATACTTGTAATTGCGCAAACATCCATTTATGCAATTGTCTTATTATCATGTAGACAACTTTGATACACGAGCAGTAAACTGCGCTAGCAATTACCTCGCTTGAATAAAAAATTCGTTGAAATTGTTCTTACCTTAGAACCACTCTACAAACCTTTCTCAGATACGCGCTTATACCAGAAGCCAAATGAGAAAGTATGCAGCAGTCAATTTTCCAGGAATTCGATGTAAAGTATCGAAACGCCGATTCAATTACAGCTTAATCATACACGCTCGTTACATTCGTTCGCGGATCTTGCTCGATCAGATCCGAGGGGTACAGTATCATATCGCCCGCTCGCTCGGGCCCGATTAAAATTGCGCGGATTCACACGAATCGGTGATTACAAGTGGGACGAGAGAGAGAGAGCCCCGGCCCTGATACCATTTGCATTCTCGCGGCTATGCTCTCCGCTGGATCCGTACGTATTATTTCGCAGGACTGAGGGAAATGTGTAATTCAAATGAGTTACGAGCGGTATCGCACTCCTGGGAAGTAGGTGCTAAGCGGTCGGATATGTTGATAGAGCGTCAGTGATACGTCGGACCGGGAAGGTGGAAATCGCGATGGGGTTGAAACACCGGGCCCGGAACAAGAGGTACGGAGAAAGAGAGAGCACCGACGGAATTGGGAGCCGGTTGTGGAAGGGGGACTCTGTTTGTAATAGTCCGCGATGGTGCGAGGCGATGAGATGTGATCGCTCGGCGATGAGCTGTGGGCGACCTGATGGTCCCGCAGCGGTGCCTCTCGCCTCTCAACTGTCTACTACCCCGACTATGTCTATACCAGGGATCCAGTTATACTGCCTATGCTTATATTCCCGCTTATAATCCGCGGCGAATATCCGTCGCGCTTTCGAAGCGTTAAATTTCGCGAATTTTAATAACGCCGGGTTTAAAAAAGTGCGGAAGAATCCAACGACGAAATGTAATCATTTCATAGTTGGAAATTTTCCTCTTCGTTCTGCGATCAGAATTAATTACACCTGATTATGTTTCATCGAATACGTGTATATCGCGTTATTATTATTAATTAGCCTTTTCTTCTCGATGTGAAAATGAAATGCCTTTGGAAAATAATGGTATGATTGATATTTCCTGAATATTAAAAATTGCAAAAATAAAAATATAATGGGTAAAAATTCAAATATGATTAAAAATCGTGTCCCCTAATCTGCGTTTACTAACGACAGGTCCTCATAGTAGTGATGGACGGTACCCTTAGCCAGCGGTAAAAGAACGGGCGATGCAAAGTGATAACATAATCAGGTGATAATGTGGCAGTCATATCTCATCGCGAGAAACCCAGCTCGAAGGTGCAGGCAGGGTGGAAAAGAGGGGGAGAGAGAGAGAGAGAGAGAGAGAAAGAGGCATAAAACGGTGGTGTAAGAGAAATAGCGGTGTAGGTGGAAGAAAGCGAGGAGAATATCACGACGGCCTCTCTCATTGGCTAGTTTACTCGGCATCTAGAGACCCTCTAGAAGCTCAGACAACGGTAGGGAGTAAGCGACGAATGACAACACCATTCAAGAAGAGTGACTGTAGCGAACAGCCGTCGTTATCTCCTAAATAAGGGGAATGTCAGGGAGATCCGACGGTGATAACACTTGTTGAGATGCATTCTCATTATTCTCTACTAGATAATCATCGCCGCCAAATTAATTGAATTTTAAGCGAGGAGAATATCGTATTGCCTCCACCACGTAGGTATTCCTCGAGCCTTATTCCCGGGTTATCCGCGTCTCGATTCGATCGACGATAGAATATTGCGTTCTCGCGTTTCTCCGAAACAGATATATATATATTTTTTTTTTTTTCGAAAAACCGAAGAATATTCCTGGAACGGTGTAACGAGGATTGATAAACGGACGAAAATCCAAAGTCCTTAAACGTGAGAAACAATTCCCATAGATAGAAGCTGCCTTTGCGTACCGCGATAGCCTTCCTCAAAGATAAAGGATCGGCAAAAATCTGATCCTACACACGTGCTCTTCTCCGGATCCGACATCTCGTCGCGCGGGCATAAAACGCACGGCCAATCATTCGTTCATGACCAATCGCGGGCGTAATGATGTTATGACGTGACATGGGTGAGAGTTACGGGCCAGCACAACAGGAGCAGCGCTCCTCGAGATGGGAATGTATCAAGTCCGAGTTAGGCTGCGAGCGGAGAGAGAATCCCTTCTCTACCTTCTTCTTCTCTCTCTCTCTCGCTCTTCTCGACTTATTATTTGTAGCCACGTTGTGGTGGTTGCCGGCGCGCACCAGCATCCATTTAATCTCTCTCAGTGAGGAGCGTTTCTTTGATCAGCGCGCGACCGCATCTGCCTGGTAATATCTCAAGCCGGTCCTGCAACCGGCGTCCCGGGCGCGAGCTCCCCGTCTTGCCTGCACCGAGGCATTTGTTGCTGTCAACCAGCACCTCGGATAGTCTCTGTAGTCGTTGACTGCGTGCCCCGTTGCCTTCCCTTCTTCCTTCTCCTCCTTCTCGTCGTCTTCTTCTTCTTCTTCTTCTTCTTCTTCTTCCTCGCCGTTCTTATTTTCCTTCGACTGCCCGAAGAAGTCGCGTGCGGAATGCAAACGTGGCTCTTCAGGAGAAAATCTTTTTCCTTTTTTTCCTTTCCCTCTCTCTTTCTTCAATCTTCTAGAATATCCAGTATACATGATTTTCTTTGTATGGAAAAAATGTGGATTTAAGAAAACGTCCGATGTGATTAAATGATACATGCATATATATCTTCGTTGTTTCTTATATGAAAATTTAATAATACTGATTAATTTATATATAACAAATAAAAATAATCAGAGTTATGTAAAAAAAGTGAGGATAGAGATAACTCAATGGTTTTTTTATGTTTGGTAAAATGAGAAGACCGTAGAGTGTGGACAGGACAAAAGAAAAATCTGCGTTTTGTAACAACCCGGAAGTAATCAATCCGGGCAATAATTTTTAATGCTTGATTCCGCGATATGGTATATAAACCATGAGTGCTTCTTTAGTTCCGTGAATCAATTAAGGCATAAGAAATTCCTAGCATAATTACCCGCGCTGCTAGAAATAATTTCCTGCTTGTATAATTCGTTAAGAGTATATAATTATTAACTGATTACAGGCACATTAATTACGGACAATTAAGTAAGTTTTAAAGGTAACCGTATGTGACGGATGAATCGCGAGAAGCTGCATTTTGAAAAACGCGCAAGTGCGCCTGGCAAAGATTAACTCGCTGCCACGAAATTCATAATCAACGGATTTCCTACGTTGGAAATAGCAACGCCTTTACGTCATCCTGAAAGAACTATTCAATCGGTATGTATATTTTATCGTTTATTGAATAATGTATTATATATAAAACATTGCTTCTCGATTAAATAGAAAAGAAGGTTGTCTCTCTTTTAAAATTTTATTTTATTTTAGCAAAACTATACATACATATTTTATACAAAAGAGAGAAAGGGGAGATCAAATTAAGTGGTTTTATTTAAATCGAAGGAGCACATTTGTGCATTCCGGTTAAAAGATATTCGTTAGTTAAACGCCATGGAGGAAGGAAGCGGGCAACAGAATATAATATCCCCCCACGTTGGAACGACTTGTTGGAAGAATATGTTGCGTAGCTTACACGCGCGAAAATACAAATACATATATATGGTAGTAATATGTAACGCACTTTGGAGTAATGTTACGTCAAAGCCAGCGCCACCGAAAATATGAGCCGGCTGCCGAGCGCTTCGCTAATGCCCGGCCATTTATTATGCTTACATTATTTCGAGATTATTAGTCTTCTCCACCTCTTCCCAAAAACTTTGGGTAATGTTTTGACTCGCGCATGGGCCCGCTAATGTCGCTGCAAATAAGCGCCACGCGATTTTACGATATTCTTTGGACATACTTTTGTGACGATAAGATCCATCACATCAAACACGATGGACGTTTCAATATTTGTATTTTTTTTTTTTTAATTATCCAGTAGCAATTTAATTCATCACACGTGGACAATTATTTCTTCGAGAATAAGGCAGACATTTTTATTATGCAGTATTGAATAATCGCGACACTTACGGAGAACGAACAATGTCTCGTGAAAGCACAATGGCTCGCTCAATTTATTTTCGGGGGCATTTTCAACAAAGCCGGGAACCATAAATGTTTAAATGCTGATAACAAACAATAATCGAAACCGATAAGACCCTTCGTTGGCGCTGAGATCGGACCAGGGGTCGAGAAAAGTTTCGAGCGAAGTGGGGTGGCGTACACACCCCATAAGAAAACCGGGAGCTTTCAATGCGGGAGGGATAAGAAATTACAGTAGAACGGCAAAGTCGATTTAGCGAATCGCCCTTTAAAAAAGGGTGATTTAAAAATACCGGTTTCCCTCCGTCCCTTTTCTTTGTTCCATCTTTTTACTCGGCGAACTTGTGACGAATCAAAATTGTCGATGCCACGACTAACAGAATGTATTCTACAGGATCGAGAGGTCATTTTTTTATCTTCGCCAGGTATCTGAAGGTTCTCCATTCTTTAGAGAGCAAATATAAATTTCACGGTGTATTATCCATCGCCATTTCGATTGGATACTATATATTTTGACTCGCGCCCCCCATTGATTTGGGTGACTGTATTTATCTTAAATCACTCATGAAAATGCCTGCTGTTGAAAGACACTTCTACGAGAGATTGCAAACTAACGGTGACCTATAATCGCTTTTATTGATCAAGTATTTTTTTATTATAATTTTGCAAAGTTTTGACTCGAACGAAAAAAATCTTATTATATATTTATAATTATAAATGGATTGTAACTTCTTCTTATACAGACACGAATATTATATTTTTTAAAAGTATAAATATCTCCCTCCCTGTTTCTCTCTCTCTCTCCCTCTCTTGGATTTCTTCCAATGAGGGGAAAATGTAAAGCTGATGGATGTACAAGTTAAAATAGCTGCTTCAAGTACAAATCCATTGCTCCTTTGAAATGGCTGCGGCAGTGTCACGCAGCTATGATTCAAAATTTCTCTGATGCGAGGTGGAACGTAGCCGAAAAATGTACGAAAGTTTTTGTTTCAAAAATAAGTTTGTAACTCATCTTTTTTTTCGAATGTGTGTAGCACAACGAAATACGTCCGAGGTTCGCCCGCGGGGAAACACACGAGGAAATCCCAGGTAACCGTATGTGAAACGTGAATTAGACAGCTGTCAAAGTCCTCTGTAGGAGAAGATGGAGTACTCATATATGTGGTGCGCGAAAGGGCATCAGAGAGCTTACGGAAGAGAGGAAAGAGAGGGGTTTGGCAGCCAGGCGAATGGATTTGGATGTAGAATGGAAGGCAAGGTAATAGTAGAGAGAGAGAGAGAGAGAGAGAGAGAGAGAGAGAGGCGGACGAGAACGACAAGATCGGGGAGAGAGAAACGGAGAGCCGATGGAAAAGGGGACAAAAGGGTATAGAGGGGGTGAGCACTGATAAATACCTCGCCATTTCTCTTTGTGCTCCCCGGCGAGAGCACAAACACGAGGCGGCTCCCTCCGTTTCAACCCGAGAGTAGCTACCTAAACCTTACTCTCTTCTTATTCCACGTCTCTGTTCCTTATCCCTCCTCATCTCTCTTGTACTCGACTATACGCTTCCTTTTCCTCCATCATCGATTTTCCCCGTTGCTTCTTAAATATTTCACGATCGGCCTTACCGGTTATTAAAGTGGTAACTAGCTGAATGCGTGAATATTGATGGAAATCGATGATACACATCTATAGCCTGCTATTATGTTTAATGACAATATCAAAAATTCCTTATTCAAAGAGAGAAACACTGCGGTAATATTTCCGACAATGTCACACAGTACAAAAGTTGAAGGGCACGATTCTATACGAAACCAACGATTGTGGACTTAATTTTATTTGACTTTACTTTCTTGATTATAAATATTTGATAAGAGGATATGAATAAATCAATGTTTTCCTCGATAAGTAGCACTTCTCATCTAATATGCTTCTGTCAAATGATCGATGACTGATAAAATAACGAAACTTTGTAAATTAGAGATGCTCTAATTTTCTAACCGAGGTAAATCGCTTGTTTCCGAAAGGCGAGAGATAAAACGATCGAGCAATTAAGGCGGCTCTTCTTTTGGAAGATTTTCTCCTCATCGTGGACTCGCACGAATGGCGGCGAATGCCCGATTCTCTTCCAGGATTGGTTTTAAAATTAATGCTGTTTCTCCGTTTCGGCTCCTAATGGCTTCTGGGAGGAGCCCTGCGAGAACCAATCGCCTCCTGCAGTCAACCTGCCTTGAAGTGAAAGCACGACACCCACGAAAAAACGATGTCGGTCATGTAAGATTAGGCCTCGTTCGATCTTTCGCGCCCTTCTTTTCCACTTTTCGTCTTTCTTATGTTTTATTCCACCCGGATCATTGAATTATCTTCATTACGTGACGATTCTCCTAAAGGGCCCTTTAATTAAGCATTCAAATTCTGTGCTCGTTAACGCACATACGAACACGCTTATTCAAGCGGAGACATTCATTAATTACCTATGTCCACTTCCAGTAAAAGATCGTTTATGAACAGCGTCTCGTGTCAGTTTCCTCGCATATATACGTATACATATAAATATTAGCATATAATATTCGATCGAAATTTATTTTTATTTCTCCTTTTACATATATTAATCTCACGTCGCGGCCGAGTTCATTACCGCGAAATATCGGAAGAAGGCGCGCGCATTTTTAATCCCTCTCCTCGAATCTCGCCGCACGTGGGATATAACTGTTTCTCTTCTCCTCGCAATGCAAATATACTCTCCGCGGCCGTTCCATTCCTCGCGAATATCGATATCGCGCCGATTACTCATCCGCCTTGCAACTTTGTACCCACCGTTGGAGTCCCGTTACCGCGCACGTTGTTACAACCACGATCCCACGACAAGAGAGAATCTCGGGAGTACCCCTGACAAAGGCCGCGTCGCGAACGTACCTGGCGTTTAGTACATACATAGAATCGTGGGCGTGATGCAGGATGTTGCGTAGGCCAGGATTAAGCAGATTAAGACGTCAGGCGGCCCGCGGCGCTTGATTAATGCACGGCATTCACAGGAACGAAAAGATTCTTTGTACATACATAGTCAGTTTGCAGTCGGGGATACGTCGGAAATTGCGCTCGCCTTTTCTACTGATTTTCTCCTTCGAGTGTCCCAGAATCTCGTCAACGTGACTCGAGATTTTATTCCATCCCCGTTCTCTCCCTTTCGCGTGTATTTTAATTTATTTTTTAATCGCCTCGGACGAATCTTTGCGAGTGCCGTAATTGAATTATTCATTATCGCTAAATAAATCTGGCAATGCATTTTTTTCGTCAAGTATCTTCTGACGTAAGAGCAGACGTCGGCGCAACATTGAGATGCTAATGACAACGGATGGTTGTTAATTAGATAATACGATGATAACAATAAGATACGTGATAACGCAACGATGCTATTCGGAAATAATAAGACGATGCGCATAAATTGCGAGAAATATAAGTGCGCTCATCAAGATCCCGATAAGGAGATTTCAGTCCTCGACAAGCGCGTATTCCAGTTTTATACACTTGACAACTCACTTACTTTACTGCTTGTATATAATTATTGCACGGGTAGTAAAAGAAAAGAGAGCAACTTTGCGGAATATTATCCGCTTATAGTTAGTTACTGTAATGAGGCAATCATCTTCTTTCACCGAGACGAAATCACCTGTCAGCTAGTCATCGACAGCAGCTGCGCCAGATTGATCCTCGGAATGTAGTTTCCGAAATAAGAAGAGCGTTAATACGATTTAATGAGAACGGATCTAGATTATTTGACATATCTCTAAACATAATCTCAAATACTTCAATTTTATATGATTGTAAAAAATTTACATTTATTAATATTAATAATTCGATATAATAATCCCATTATAATAAAATTAATATATAATTTGAAACAAAATATTATATATATAATAGAGTATAACATTTTATAAGAATTTTAAGAAACACAAAGAAGCCGACTTTATCTTGTCTCACTGACACTTGTTAATATTACAAGCTGTTCAGGTAAGATTTCAGGAAGACTTCGGCATGTCTCTTCGGACTTTTCGTGACCTTGAAACGCATGATTTTAAAGGAGTAAATTGATCTCTATCTTTACCTCCTAACTGGCCGAAGGGCTACCTGAAAATTGAAATGTCTCGAAAATGGATAACTCGTCGTCAGTTCGGAAGTGGACTATTAATAGCTACAAGCGCTTCGACCTTCGGGAAAAGGATGAGCATGATGAATAGCTTTGGAGAAGTGACAAGCCTACGTAAGCGTGATATCTTTGACGTAAAAAAAGTTTTTTTTCCATGGCAATTTAATCTTACAATTCGTTTGCTGTCAAAATTGTCACAAGTAGCATAGAAATCAAATATTAATTATTAATCAAAAAAAAGTTTCCGCGAGAAGAAAAATATAGCAATAATCCATCACATATCGCATGTATATTTTTTATCCAAAAATATCCATGTCATAAAATAAAAATATGACTTGCAGATAAACGTCAAAAATTATAGAAAACCTTCCCCTGCTCGATCTACAAGCACGCAGGTTTCTTCGAAAATTCCACCTAGCGATTCCACCTAGATTCCCACGCGATATCCCGATTGAAACGTCCAGAAGGATGGATAGTTGTCACTCACACGAGACAGATTCGGCCAAGCCTAAGGTTGCCATTTTGAATTCCTTCGCAGTGGTCAATCCCGAGGCCGAGTTTGAGGAATCGTAGGCGGAGATGAAGGCTTCACGTGGCGCGGAGAGAACGCGAACGAGAGAAGAGAAGAGGAAGAAATGAAGATAACGAGAGAAAGAAAGAAGGTTAGAGAGAGAGAGAGATCGGAGCTCCTCGCTGGTAGGATGGATGCCGTCGTACGTTGGTACAGGCGCAGAGGAACCGTGTACGTGCCGCCGACCTGTACCCCGTACAAGGATACACCCTATTCCGACTGGTGGATAAACGCGGTAAGAGAGAGGCGCGGCCCACGGTATCATTTATCATTGTGGGAGCTCATTAAGGCCGAATCTGCCGCACGCTGATCGTTTGGGATTACACTTTCCTCCTCGTATCCCTTCGTATAGCGCTTAACCCCCTGCGCAACCCTGATCATCTTTTTCCTCCTTTCTTCTTCATTCATTCCGTTATCTTCTTCTTTCGACCGGGGATAGCTCGCGCTTTCGCTCATCGTCCTGTTGTCAAAGGAAAACCAGCATCCACGCGTTGAAATCTCGCTGTAGATAACGCGTTTGCATCTTAACGAAAATATAATGTTTTTTAGACTATGTGTACTTATTATGAAATAAATTCTCAGGCTTCGTGTCAGAGGGAAGTTTGCATATAAAGTACGCAAATATTGAATTTAATCTGTATCTATTTTATTGATGTATTTTACAATGTCATTTCTTCTGCTTTCCTATTTTAATTACGTTCTAAAATTATAGATTTTCTTACAATATGGAGGAATCGTAGAGGAATCTCCAAGTCTGGCAACTCTTACAGACGCCATTTACGCGCTCATCGTTCTTCATGCTGGACTTACATGCTGACCTCACTCGGTTTTTCCAAAGGCCTCCAGCGAAATCCGACGGATGGTGCATTAGCTCGCTCGGACCAGCCTAATGACGCCACCACATCCCCATAGGGAACCTTCGTTCGCGTTCGTGATTTCTTCTTCTCTTCTTTCTGTTACACCAGTTCGGCCACGAGCGATCCATCACCAAGTGAAAAAAGTCTCTTTATATCGTGCTAGTAGAAATGTGCCGCTTGCTTCTTTCTACGTTGTCATCTATTACTAGTACTCTCTTCTCCCTTCGTATATTCGAAACTTACAGCGCGCGTCCCGAAATGAAAATATCCCTTATAATTTGTACATATTCAATTCAACGGAAATGCTACAGTTTTTTTATCCTAAATAAATGTATGGATATGTCAAGATATTTCATAAAAATAGATTTTTGATGTACGTTTTTACGAATCTCTATATATTTATTATATTATATATCATATTTTATGTACTATTAATCGACTCTACGAATCTATTAATCTATCCTATATAAAATATATATGAAATAACGAAAAAGAAAAATGACACTGCGTGTTGACGAAATCGAGAATAAATTCGAGAATAAAAAAGCGAATGGTGGAAAATATTTATCGCGCTTAAAGCAAATACACACATGAAACTATCAACAGCTATCTCTTCAAAGTTTTTTCCCTCGGACTTTTCTCGGTTAAGTTGTATTCCGGGCCACTCTATCGTCTTTCGGTTTTTGCCACGATACTCTCTTTACCGTGTCGGATAGCAGGAACTCCAAGTCCGTACTAGTGAGAAATGCCGCTAGTTTTATTTTGCCAGTTCCCTACGTTAGCGATTTTTCCATCACCGCGGCGAGATATTTCACCGACAATCTAAGAGTCGCAAATGGAGTCCACAATGAGGCAGAAATGGCTTGGTGCTCTGATGGCCCTCGCATTTGTCTTCACTCTGTTCCTTCCCCCCTGTTCTCCTTCTTCTTTCGGTCTCCGAACACGCGCCTTTCACTCTCCCGCCTCCGCCCCGTCTTTCTTGCCACCCCATGGGAAAAAGCGCGATCAACTGCGCCGGTACGTCACGATCGCTGCTCGACTAACCCCCATGCATTAATTTCAGACGATCGTTCGGACATTAAAAAGCGCTTTCCTCGGAAATGCGAGAATTACTCGGGGCAACGGGGATCTTTACCGATAGTTAAGCGCTTCTCGGGGGCTCGCTGACATTACGTTACATGCGCGGCTATAAAAAGAGGAGATGACAATCCAGTCTGGAAGACAAAATAGACGCATGCGAGTCGCGCTCATGCCACCACCGTGGCGGCCATAGCGGGCAACGTTATTTCCGCAATTATAAGCCCATCAGCGGCAAACGAAGCTTCGTGTTTTTGTGACGGCTGGCACGGAGTGGACTGGAAATAAGGCGGACAGAGGGACGAAAGCATGGGAGAGATAACACTGGCGGACTTGGTGTAGAACACATACACGCACGCGCGCGTACATGTACACCGATCACGTCGGCTACTCGAGAGGCACAGTAACGCGGGCATTTCGTGCATCAAGGACGGTCTGATGCGATTTTAATCATGGACACCCCTCTCGCTTTTTCTCCGCCCGCGGCCCCGACTGCCAACAACGTTTCCAAGTCCAACCCCCTCGCCACGCCGGTGTAAAACCGATTAATTTCATTGCTCTACCCTACGCGCCTAGTACGTATAGTATCGAAAGAACTCCCTGAAAGCCCTGAGTGACAACCCACGCGTTCATATTTCATGACTTTTCCTCGAGCGATTTATTAATCTTTTATTAACCGTAATTAGGGGCAAAATGGTGAATTAATTAACAGCGAGGAACCTGTTTATCTACCCTTCGTGTTCTTCGTGCCTTATATGCGTTTGAAAATAACTTTTGTCGATACCTACATACGTCTTATATATGTTTGAATTGTAATAAAGAAATTTGTCACGCCATAATCTCTATGTGGTACAACAGTTGATAACGCATCGAGTATTAATCGGAGCAACTGCTTCTAGATCTGTACCAAGCACATTGACCGCGACAGTTGCACAACTACCATTGTTTGCGCGCGGCGGAAGAGTTCAGGAAGGACAAGCCGAGTGTCACCGACGGCCTTAGAATACAGGCAGGCGACATAAATATGCATGTCTCCGCGGGCCCATGGCTCATGTGCCGGTGATCGTTATATCTCCATCTGACCGGAGACTGGAAGGGATAAAGGGGGAGGATAGGGGGGAGGTTTAGTGGTGGTCCGGTAATACATTCAAAGTTGGGCGTAGGGACTGCAGGGACAGAAAGGGGGATGCGGAGACTCTCTCTCGGATGGTGTTGGAAAGAGGAGGAGAGATGAGAGAGTGGTGAAGTAGGTGGACATGGCGGGGGAGGGGAAAGGCCGCGGGAGGCAGAGAGGGAGGTTTCTCGTGTTTCATTTCCTGAGCTCCTATATAACTTTGTGCTCAACTCGACACCAGATTAATAACGGCCCCACCTATCCTATTCTATCCCAACCCGAACAAGTTCGTGCTGTGTGTACACTCCGTGTGCTGTGCGCACGAAGCCTGCTCGTATCACTTCTCTACTCTCCTCTCTCTCTCTCTCTCTCTCTCTCTTGCTCCCTTTCTCTCTTCATCTCGCACCCTTTCACGTTTATCCTCTTTCTCCGTTCCTCTCGCTGTTTTTTCCTCTTTCTCTCTCCCTCTCCGTTTCTATCTCTCGTTGGATGCGCGACACGGTTGAAAATTCTGAACGTGTTACCGATCCATCCATGGACCCTGGCACGCCCTGACAAACCGACATGCTGAAAACTCCAACGCGGCTGACCAATGCGATCCGTACACCGAACCGGAGTAATCATATTTCATATCGCGATGGCCAACCTATTATTTGTTGGTCGGACACGCCGTTGTACGTGTCGTTAGACCGATAGACAGCATTTGAAGCAGGTAAGTAATGCGCTCGCGGATCTTATTTATAAGAATTTTTAAGCAAGAGGGTTTGGGGCGAGAGAAGGGACAAATTTTATCTTCGATCGAATCTCTTCGAGTAAATTGCGCGCTCTGAATATATATACACAATTATTAATTAGTCTAATTTTGTAATCAAATTTACTATCGTCGATGAGCAGTTTTGTAAATGCTTTTACAGTACGCTGCGTAATAAAATTATGCGTATTAAATATGTAAAAAATATTGCGAGCTAAGTTAATAACAGCTCTCATTATACGTGCACATTGTTAAGTAGCAGCAGCAGCAGCGAAGAGAAAAGGTAGCCTAAGTTATGAAGCACATCATCAGGGTAATTTCAAAGAGGGATACCGAAATTAATCACGAAATCGCTGGATTGGCCGAATCTTTTCTTGCGTGAAATAATTACGGTAACTTTCCACGCGATCGCACGTACCTCGAATTTGTGTTTGATATTTTAACAACGTTCAGTTTTATTTTTATTTAAAAAATGCGTGTACTATAGACACACAAGCAAATTTATAAAAAAAAAAAATGTAACATAACAGTATTGTATAAATAGAAATAAACGAAAAATTTATAGAAAAATATATGTTAAGAAAGATTTTCACAAAATTTTAGCGTTCTTGACGTATAATTATTATTTGAAAAATTAGAATTAACAATGACACAATATTAATTCAAACTTGTATTTCAGCTATCAGTTCATTTCTTTTTACACTATTAGAACAACACAAGCGCCTGCTATGCGTCGTTCTTCGATTTTATGTTAAAAGAATGATATTGTTCAAAAAAATAATGTAAAGTTTGTTTCAATTAGATTAATATTTTTTGACAGATATCAGCTTTTAAAAAATATTAATTCGAGTTTAAAGTTTAAATTATAACATACATATTATTTAAAATATATATTATTTTAATTTTTATAACATGTTATTATTTTAAAATTTTATTAGCTTATTAAGGCTTAACTCAGTTGACATCTGTAAAAGGTATTAATAAAATAGTAATATGTTATCGTACTTTATCCCCGATTTTTGACAGAAATCAGCTGATAACTAATAAGTCGAGTTTAAAGTAATTATCTCATTTTTTAGAAAGCAAACAAGAAGCTAAAATATTTTGAAATCATTCTTAAAATCGAACGTTCTTACATGTTTAAATACATATTGTATGAGGAAGATTTCGTTTTGCGATACATCTAAAAGATTCGATAATTTTATAGGAGATATAACCTTTTTTATTTTTCCCTGAAAATATTTTATCACGCGTACTGTTTCTTTCGACGCTCCACGTCCGATCTGAGTTCACGATGATAATGGCTGCTTCGCGTGCAGCAATTTATGTACTGTAGACACGTTATCGCGTATTGGTATGTGGCGCCGATTCGATGAAACACATATCGTAAATAAATGTAGGAAACCGATTTGCTTGAGAGAATTTATATCAATATTCTAGAATCAATTTATCAAATTATCTTTAATAATTTATGCCTTTGAAAAAACTTACGATTAACGAGACTTTTTTTATGACAAGGCCTCTCATATAAGACTTCCCCGATGTAACGTATTACTTGACGACTGTTACTTTGACCATCTCTCTCTCTCTCTCTCGCTCTCTCGCAATAAGCGAGTTTTAAACGTGAAATCTCTTACATCATCTAAAATTTCTAAATTCTTTTTCAAGATATAATATACATCTAATTTTTTCGAAAACCTGTCCGGGTTTATCATCGTGATAGTTGACTCGCGTGTCGAGATTTATACGCTGTAAACACATTATTGCCTATTGGTACATGATGCCAGTTCACATCATATCATAGACAGATTACGTAGAAGCGGCACTCAAAGAAATACGTCTACGTATCTATACAACATACACATACATATATGCGAGTAACATTGCGGCAAGGCAGGGTGGAATGGAGAAGATTATTAGGCACGCGACGCGGGGAGGATATTCCGGTAATGCGCATTTGATTACAGCGTTCAGAACCATAACTTCGCCGGGCCAACCATTTTAGCTGATTCCCATTGATATGCTTACATGCTTTACAAATTAAATTCTGTACGAACTAAGGAAGTATTTATGTCATGAGCGCGTTAGACATTTGAAGTAAGTACTTTGATAAGAAATTTATTCCATATGAAAAAATGCGCTTTTATTGAAAATTTATATTTTATAATATAATAAGAGTATAAAATTTATTTTATTTCATATTTCATTTGTATTTAATTTATTTTATTTTATATTTAATTTACGTTGTCGTATGCGTTGTACATAAATTTCGGCAAGTATAAAGACGTTGCTTTAACAATAATATATAATAAGAAAATATTAATGACAGAAAGATAATAATAATAGGAATAATGGTAATAA